ATTAGCCAAGTCTCCCTTTATCTCCCTCCTTTGTGTGTCCAGTTAGTGCCATCGGACAGAGATGCTGTGGCGATTGTGGTCATCTCTGTAGCAAATGAGGGTGACTTGTCCCAAGAATTGAAAGCAGAATTAGGAGGACCCGCCTCTGGACATGAGTTGGATGTGAATGGGAAAGGGTTGGACGTGAATGGAAAAAGAAAGGCAGGGACCGGAGCTGATGCTGGGATTTCCCATCACCCAGGGTGGCTGGGGTGCATGGGGTCGTAACTGATGCTGTTTGTTTTCTCAGCCCCACAAATGAAACTTTATTTGCAGTGACAATGGCATGCCTGCGGGAGTTTTCTCCCCTCCCCGGTCCTTAGGGGAAACGCTGTTGTGTATGAGTATATGGCACTCACACATTCAGGAAGCATTGCTGTTCCCTGATTCCCACTTGAGTTAGCAGTGTTTGCGCCGGCTGCTGACACTACAGGCCCAATGACCCGCTGTATTAGAACTCACCAAGCCTTATTACCGGGCCAGAAACCAACTGACCGTCGAGTTCTAAGAATGTCTGCTAAGCATTTAATTTCCCCATTTCCACCAGGCACTACAAGTAAATAGGTACAGTAAGCAATAGAAATAGCAATCTGTCCAGCCCTTCCTTATTCAGCAAATTCCAGGAGGCACATGTCTCCGCTTTAGCCTGTGGCCTGCGAGAACAGCCCAGAATGTCACGTGTGGGAGCCTGGGTCGGGGAGCCGCTGCGTGCTCAGGAAAGAGAGGTGTGGAGACCCCTGCATCCATGGCCAGATTGGATAGAGCTGTGGTCGGCAAACTGCGGCTCCCCCTCACTGCACTCTCCTGTTGACCTTGTGCAGGCCATCACACCGTCGAGCAGAGTCCTAAAAAGGCCCCCGGGACCCCAGCTCCCTGTCTCCCTCATCACTGAGTTTTGCTGCGCAATCTGAATCCCAAATTAACAATGCCCTTTTCTACCTTAAATAGCTATTTTCGCTTCTTATCCTTCAGCCAGTTCTGTCACAGCCAGTTCTGTCACCCCAGGAGGCCATTCACCACCCACTCCCTGGCTTGTCATTGGCACCTTTCCTCTCAGAGGGTCAGAGGCAGCTCTGAGGGCACAGCAGGGCTCAGCAGCCTCAGAGGGCCCTGGGATCACAGGGGCTTCCTCCACACCAGTGGTCGGCAAACTGCAGCTCGCAAGCCACATGCGGCTCTTTGGCTCCTTGAGTGTTCTAACACCACTTCTTCAACATAGACTCACCCAGGCCGAAAACCAACTTCTGCACATGGACCACGAGGTTTCAGTCGCACTGTACCTGAGCGCCTGCATGTAGTGTTTTGTGCAAGAGCCACACTCAAGGGGCCAAAGAGCCGCATGTGGCTCTGGAGCCGCAGTTTTCCGACCACTGCTCCACACTAACGTGCTCTCCTCGCTGTCCATTAGGGGCCCCGGGTAAGGGCTGGCTGTCTCAGTAGCACTTGTTGAAAATGCAGGGTCACCTGGCCCGTGTGGCTCAGTGGTTGAGCATTGACCATGAAGCAGGAGGTCACGGTTGGATTCCCGATCTGGGCACATGCCTGGGTTGCAAGTTTAATCCCCCGTGTGGGGCATGCAGGAGGCAGCTAATCAATAATTCTCTCTCATCATTGATGTCTCTTGGTCTTTTCTAATAAGGACAACTGAGAAGTCCCAGGGAGGTGTCTGCCTCCTTCCGCCTTCAGCCCCAGAACGTTCTCATCTCTTACTCACCTCTCTCTAGCTTTGCATTTCATTGTGTGGAGTTTGTCTCCTGCTTCTGGGTGGTGCTGGAACCTTAGTTCCCTCTGGGCAGGTGGGTCCCTCTGGTTTCCCTCGGGTTTGGGCTAGGATGGTCCGGCTGATGCAGGGCGGGCTGGCCTCGTGGATTTTCTCGCCACCCTCCCTTCGGTTAATTTTAGAAACTTGAGTTGCCATGGAAATGGACCAGTGGGGTTTTCACGGTTCTCTTTTGATTCAGTCATGTGTTAGTCTGCCCTCTAAATTAAACCGTTTCAATCTGCATCTAAATTGGGACAGGAGATGAGCTTGGAATGGGATCCCCAAAGGCACTGCAGCCCCACAGGGTGGGTGTGGGGTGCCCTTGGCTTACAATGGCCAGGGCGCTCCCGTGACTGGCTGCAGGCGGGTATGGGTAACCGGGGGCACGCTGGGGAGAAGCAGTCCCAGGGCTTCTACCACATGTGAGCTTCTGCCATTTTGGTTCCAGAATCCCCAGCACTGAGCTCAGCGCCCAAGCTACCATTGGGGCGTGGTTAAGTAGATAAAGGATGTGTGCTCAGCCAGACTTCTCAGCTCTCAGCACAGCCCTGAGAAGGTCGCACTTCATTCCCCACGGCCCTGGCTGGTGTGTGACCCTCTGGGTGGCACCTCCTCTTCTCAGCCATCAGCATCCCAGTTCCCTTTTCACACCAGTTGTGAAGGGATCCGATTAAAAGTCCCAGAAATCGGATCAATGACTTTCTCTCATTATTGATGTTTCTCTCTCTCTCCTCCTCCTCTCTGAAATCAATAATATATATATATATATATATATATATATATATATATATATATATATATATTTAAAAAGAAAAAAAACTAGCATTAATTGAACGCAAACCTCTCTGGCACTTAGCTCTGATCTCTGTGGATTCCGTGCAGTGTACTTTACCCTCTCGGTAGCCCAAGGAGATGGCCACTGCTGCTCACACAGAACCACCCCGTTTTAAAGATAAGGCATCTGAGGCTCGTAACAGTCAGTAACGTGCCTGAGAACACCGAGACACGATGGCCCCAGGATGCAACCCTCCGCTCTGTGCTGCAGACAACACAGTGAAGAGGCCGTTTTATTTTACGTCTGAGTTCTCTTTCTCTCTCTCTCTCTCTCTCTCTCTCTCTCTCTCTCTCTCTCTCTCTCTCTCTCTCTTCTCTCTCTCTCTCTCTCTCTCTCTCTCTCTCTCTCTCTCTCTCTCTCTCTCTTTCTCTCTCTCTCTCTCTCTTACACACACACATACACACACACACACACACACACACACACACACACACACACGCAGGCCCCCATCCAGCTTCCGAGGACGTAGCTGAGAACAGACAGAACGCCAGCAGGTGCTTGAGTGACAGCTGATTGCCTCCAGAGGCCGCCCTCCTGTAACTGTCTGGGGCGTGCTTCTGCCTTTCGTCTGAGGCTCTGTTTGCTTCTCTCTGTACAGTTGATCATTGAATCAGTGCCCCATGGGAATATCAGAGCTTCCATTCATGTTTGAGCGTAGCTGGAAAGAAAATTAGCACAAAGCCCAGAGCTTGCAGGGGAAGATCTGTGTCAGAGGAGGATTATTGGGGGGGAATCTGGAAATACTGAGATCGGGAAGGAAGATGATGTGTTTCACAGTCTGTGGATCTTGGAAGGAGAAATATCTGGGTTCTGATGCTCATCCCTCTATTCCGTATGTGATGCTAGACAGGTTAATTCACCTCTCTCTCTGTCGATTTCCTCAACTGAAAAGTAGGAATCATCTATAATAATAAAAGTGTAATATGCTAATTAGACTGGACATCCTTCAGAAGCCCAGGTCCTGGTGCCTGCTGGCGGCTGGAAGGACCAGATGCCAGAGGAACCGGTGCCGGCAGCTGGGGGAAGGAAGGCCTACTCTTGCATGAGTTTCCTGCATTGGGCTTCTAGGAAAACAATGAAAGCACCTGCCTTACGCATATGTGAAGACACAGATGATTTTTTTTTTCATTAAGTTGTGTGCATTTGAGTACCTACTATGTGCCAGGCACACAGTGGGGACACCGTGATGAACAGAACAGGCACACCTTGAGTGATGAGGAATGTAGTAAAGGGTAGCCCAGCGCCAGGACACCATCCTAAAAAGCAGGGGTCACTGCCCCTGCCGTTACTTATCATCTACATTTCGGCCCCCATGGGCCCATCGCCACCTCCTCACCGCTTCCCCAGGTGGAAAGACCGCAGGGTGTGGTCACCAGGTTCGCTCAGCTGGACTGTATTTAGATGATTCTTCCAGCTGGGCTGCACCCGTGGGTAGTTGTGGCCCTTCATTCATTTCATTCTCTCCCTCTCAGAAATCACTAAAATTACATTTTTAAAAATAATAATCATAATAAATAAATAAATTTCCACGGAAAAACTGATTTCTGCCACAGGAACTTCTCCTGATCCCTAGATACTGTAGTTCCTGGCACTGATTATTTTTTTTTAAGCAACTTTATTGAGGTATAACTTACGTAACAGGAAATTTTCCCATTTTAAGTGTGTCGTTCAATGAGTTTTAGTAAATTTACAAATTTGTACAGCCATCACCACATTCAACATTTCCCTCATACCTATTACCAGTTCATCCTGCCCCCCCCCGACTCTTACCCCCCAACCCTGCCTCTCCAGGTGACCATTCTACTTCCTGTCTATAAATCTGCCTTTCCCAGACACTTCATGTAAATGGAATTCTACAACATGGGGTCCTATGTCTGGCTTATTTTGCTTCACATAATGTTTTTGAGGTTCATCCCTGTTGTAGCATGGGTCGGTCCTTCCTTCCTTTTTCTTGCTGAGTAATATTCTACATGTGGCCAAAACCGGTTTGGCTCAGCGGATGGAGCGTCGGCCTGCGGACTGAAGGGTCCCGGGTTCGATTCCAGTCAAGGGCATGTATCTTGGTTGCAAGCACATCTCCAGTAGGGGGTGTGCAAGAGGCAGCTAATCGATGCTTCTCTGTCATTGATGTTTCTAACTCTCACTTCCTCTCCCTCTCTGTGAAAAATCAATGAAATATATTTTAAAAATATATATATTCTACATGTGGACGTACTACATTCTGCTTATCCATGTCTGTGGTTTCCTATTGTGAACCGTGCTGCTGCCGACATCTGCACGCAGGTCCTGGGACAGACCACCACGCCAAGGGGTGAGAGCTAAATCAGTGACCTCCTCCTTTTCTCTCCCCTCGGGCTCTCCCAGAGCCGGGCAGCGGGCAGGTGTTCGTGACGTCGGAGAACCAGCTGGTGTACTACCCCAGCATCACCTACGCCATCATCGGCAGCTCCGTCATCTTCGTGCTCGTGGTGGCCCTGCTGGCGCTGGTCCTGCACCACCAGCGCAAGCGCAACAACCTCATGACGCTGCCGGTGCACCGGCTGCAGCACCCCGTGCTGCTGTCCCGCCTCGTGGTGCTGGACCACCCGCACCACTGCAACGTCACCTACAACGTCAACAACGGCATCCAGTACGTGGCCAGCCAGGCCGAGCAGAACGCCTCGGACGTGGGCTCCCCGCCCTCCTACTCGGAGGCCCTGCTGGACCAGAGGTGCGTGCTGGCTGGAAGAGACAGGGCCAGGGGCGGGGGGGGGGGGGGCGGGGGGGGGGCAAGGGGGGCAAACACAGAACCATCTTGGCAAGACCAGGAACCCAGGCTGCCATCATTCTACTCCCCCTATCGGTCCCCTGGGTTCTGAGGGTGCCACGCCCCCTGCTGAGCTCTGCTCAGCGTCACCCTTTTCCCCGAATCCACATGCACCGTGTGGCATGAGCATTTTGCACCCCCTGGTCCTGGGGTGCCCGGGGTCCTGCTGGGCCCTCTTCAGTGGCCGCTCTTGTATTATTTAATCTTTTTATCCCCCTCTTCATAAAAGGTAGCTTCAGGGGGCAGTACTTAGGGGTTTCTTAGAAAGGAAGCCTACGTGTACAGGATGTCACTCACCCCCCAATAGCCTGGGGTCTCGATCCCAGCCTCGTGCTTACAAGTTACGGGTGATCTTCTGCGAGTCATTCAGTGCCCATGCCTCAGTTTCCTCCCGGTACTAGGGCATAAAGGAACACCTACCCCTTCGTTCTTGTGGCCCTTCCCAAGGGCATGGGTGTGAGGTGCGTGGCATGGCCCCTCCCAGTGAGCCCTCAGGAAGTGAGAGCCGGGAAGCCAAGGGTCTTTCCTCTTCCTTCCCCGGGAGCAAGATGCCGTTACCGTCCCCTCCTGCAGAGACGGGGGTGTTGGGAAGGTGTCCTCTCCCTTACCCAGGTCCACACAGCAAGCGGGCTTCCGTAAGAACCCCGAATCCTGAGGCTCATCCGAGGCTCCACCGAACGCCAGGCCAGCAGCTTGGCCACGGGACCCCCGGTGGTGGAGCAGAGCCGCTCTGCCAGATCACTTGGCATCCTCGCTCTGGCTCCACCAGAGCACAGGCCAGCCGGCGGGCACTGACCGGCTCCGTTCCGTCTTAGTACTCACCACGTTGGGTGGCCTCTCTGCCCGGAGGGCTGGCCTCCTGCCTCACACCAGCATCCGCCCAGAACCGGGCAGAAGTCAGCCGTGCCCTGGCGCCTCCTCACGCTTCTCTTTCTCCTCCTCTCCTGCCTCCCCCATTGCAGACCCGCGTGGTACGACCTCCCTCCGCCGCCCTACTCTTCCGACACCGAGTCCCTCAACCAGGCCGACCTGCCGCCTTACCGCTCCCGGTCGGGGAGCGCCGACAGCGCCAGCTCCCGGGCGGCCAGCAGCCTCCTGAGCGTGGAAGACACGGGCCTGGGCCCCGGGCAGCCCGGCCCCCCGGAGGGCACCGCCACGCCCAGGGACTCCGTGCCCGGCCAGGGCCCCGAAGAAGTATAAAACCCGGCTATTCCAGACTCCACACGGGTCCATCCGCTCTGACCTGGTACCATCCTAGCCACCTGCCCTCGGGAAGTCGGGGTGCCTCAGGGACTGATCTGGGGTGTCCGCTGTCTCTCTCGGTCCCCCTCCTGCCCCACATTTCGGGGATGTCGTCCGGCGGGGGTTTTCCTGGCCTCTCCATTGGCACGATGTGTGTGGGCATCTGTCCTGGGAGGTCATGCTCCCTCTCCACATCGTCCTTCTGTTGCCACTCTCACCTGGCGGAGGAGGGCACAGGGTCCCACGGGTCCGGGGACGCCTGAGGAAGCGGCGTCTGTGGTGTGTTGGATGGGCAGAGGGGCAGGCACTGGGCCGCGTGCCCTGTGGGCTGCCGTCTGATAGCTTTTTGGGGGTCCGGATGCCTTTCCCCCTCGGCTGTGGTCTCTGTTCCTGCTAGCTGTCCTCTCTGTGCCCCGCCAGCCACGGGGCCCACCCACCAGGAGGCCGCCCCGGGGTGGCCGCCCTGCAGGGAGGCCGGGCGAGCATCCTGCACTGTCCTCCACGTTCCCCTCCGTTCAGCGGAGGCAGCGGTGGCCAGAGAGCACGTGTGACCCGAGGGGCGCTCTTCAGCGGTCAGCCGTGTCACTCAGGTGTTGGGAATGACCCTGAACCTGTCCACTCTGGGTAGATTCTGGCTTTAACACGTGGCCTGAGAATCCCCGTTTGGAGAGCGTCTCTGGCCGCATATCCTCAGCCTCGTCCCAGAACAGTCAGGAAGGAGTGCAGCGGAGGCCCGCTGTGTCCACAGTCCCTCCCCCGGCTCCTGGATCGGCAGCCTCCCACTGTGACCTGCCTGTGGCCTGGCAAAGTGCACCCTGCTGTGACCCTGGTGCCTGTGAACCACACCCAGCCGGCCGCCCTTCCTGCAGCTTCCACACTAGCCCCCCAGGTTCCCTTCACACGCAGAAGTCATGTTACCTGTGTGTTTGGACTTGACACTGCCGTTTCTAACCCGTGTGAGAACCTCCCCCCAGAGCTCCCAGCTCCCTACACTGCACACTCTCCCCTCCCTGGGCCCCTTCGGGCATCCCATCGTTTCTCCCCTGAGAGACACGGACGGTGGACGATTTGGAGTCAAGATTTGCCATTCGGACTTTTTTTTTTTTTTTTTTAATCTTTTAGAAATGCATTTGAAACAGTGTGTTTGGGTTTTGTTTTGTTTTTCCCTTCTAGTTAAGGGACTATTTATATGTGTATAGGACAGCTGTCTTTTTTGTTGTTGTTGTGTTTTCTTTAGTGAGGTCCAAAGAAAGATGCAAACCGGGGTGCGGCCTGTGTCCCGCTGACACCCCCACCCCCACCCCACCCCCGGTACAAGCCCCTCCAGATGAGCCCGTGGGCCAGGCGCTTGTACACCGTGGCACTTGGGATTGTCATTGATGGAGTCCTGGAAGGATGTGTCACGGTCTCTGTGCTCCTGCTAGCTGCCCTCTCTGCGCCCGGCCAGCCCCGGGGGCCACCCCCTGGGGAAATAACGGGTAGAAACCTAGGCCTTATTTATGGTAGGACGCTGACAGGATGAAACTGGAACCAGGCGGAGCCACTCTGGGCAGCTCCCACGCACTCAGGGCTTCTCTCCACAGCCCACGACGCTCTGACGCTCACTCACAAGGAGCCTGCAGACAGGGAAGAAGAGGTGTCCCGCGATCCTTATTCCATAGACTTAACCAAATCCAGAGGATATTACGGAAAAGCTAACCACATGGTGATTTTTTTCTTTCTTTTTTCTTTTTTTTTTTTTTTTTTTTTAAGGAAAGGAAAGGAACCTTGTTGCCTGCATCTTTTTTTTTTTTTTTAATATATTTTATTGATGTTTTTACAGAGAGGAAGAGAGAGGGATAGAGTTAGAAACATCAATAAGAGAGAATCATCGATCAGCTGCCTCCTTCACACCCCCCATTGGGGATGTGCCCACAACCAAGGTACATGCCCTTGACCGAAATCGAACCCGGGACCTTTCAGTCCGCAGGCCAACGCTCTATCCTCTGAGCCAAACCGGTTTCGGCTGCATCTTTTATTTTTAATATAACACTTTATTATCTGAGTCATCCAGTAAGGCGAGGGCTTGCAAAGGCGGCCAGAGTGTGTGAGGACTCCTGCAAGTCGGAATGGCTGTGTTTCTCCCTCCGATGGGCCCCTGCTTCTGCCTGGTGCCCAGGAAGTAGCTTAGAGCAAAGGATTCTAATTTCAATTAATTGTGCAGTGAACTAATCTCACGAACAATTCTGCTGCCAGGCATTTTAGGGAAACAAATGCTGCGGGTAGATAAGGGAAACCTATTAAATGCTGTTGTTTTAACAAAACAAACACAGGGACATTTTTATTACCGATTTGATTTCTTTGTAATGAATGTTTTTAAAAATATATAAATAGGACACCAAAGCTGCAGGGGGTTTTGGGGTTCTCCCACCCCCTCTCTTCAAGATAACAAGTGACCCACGGTATTTTTTAACTCGTTCCGATCAGGGGTTTTTTATACATTGCCTAAATCGATGCCAACTGGAGAACCATCTCTGCTCTCCTCTCTCAGATGAAATTCAAAAGTCCTTTTTTTATTTTCGCATTAAAATACTTTCGCTGTGATAAGCTAGCTTACCACCGGCCTCCGCTCCCTCTCATTTGAAATCGACAATTCTTAACAATGCAACTAAGTGGTTAATGGTGTGTGATGTTTAAAGTTGATGTAAACTGGAAAGGTGTGTGCAGTTGTATTTTTTTTTTTTTTTTTTTGGCTAGGGTTGTGTTCTGTTTTTGTTTTGTTTTTTTAATTTTATACTTTTCAAATAAACATGCAGTTTCATTCTTTCTATTGGTGTGAATGGTTCTTCGCCTTTCTTAACCCACCTTGGCGATGTAAACAATGGACTCCTCACATCTGTCGCGGCTTCTGCAGTGAATTTCTGCCATAGGAAAGGCGGGCAAAGGAAGAGTCTATTGACGGGATCTCCATGTGATGGGCGTTTAAGGGTTCTACAGCTGATGTGATTGGAAGGCAGAGGTGGAATCACGAATTCTAGTTCACATCACAGGTCCCGGATGTCACTTAAGAAGACAAGCATGAAGTGCTTCCACTATAGTGCTGTTTGGGGGAAGGGAGAGGTCATTGTGAAAGCCAAGAACAGACCCTGACCTGTGCCGGATGAAACTGGAACCAGGCGGAGCCACACTGCAACTCTAGCACAACGTGCTGATGATGAGTTCAGAGCCACAAATGGTGCAGATTGGCCCCATCAGTGATGGGGGCATCCTGGCTGGTTCTTACAAGACTCATTTTAGAACCACGTGTTGACTGATGCCTCCAGGACAGGGGCATGGAGAGTCGGGAGGTCACCTCTACCGCCACCCATGAACAGGAGAAGCAACCTTGGCCTTGGTCTTGACCAAAGTTGAAATCCACATGGGAAACTAAACACAAGGTCTGCAAAACCTAAGGCTGTATGTCTAGTAAACCCAACCCCCTGAGGATAGTGACCGAGCTTCCATCGACACATGTGCCCCTAGGATCACACTGGGAAAGGGTATTAAGAAGCATGGTCCCCAGGAGAGAGTGAAGACAGCAGCATTCAGCCCACCTAGGGACTAGGACCTTGGGCCATGCAGTGGTTTGCGGTACAGACACTCCATCCTCCATTGAAAGGAGTCTTCCTCAGCAGCAAATTGGGACTCAATACATATTAGACCTAACGTCTTCGTATGCAGTGATAAAAGGGAATTTATTTAATTTTTGTAGGCATAACCCATCATTGGAGTCTGTAGTTATCAAAAATGCAATGGGCCGAAACCGGTTTGGCTCAGTGGTTAGAGTGTCGGCCTGCAGACTGAAAGGTCCTGGGTTTGATTCCTGTCAAGGGCATGTACCTTGGTTGCAGGCACATCCCCAATGGGGGGTGTGCAGGAGGCAGCTGATCGATGATTCTCTCTCATCGATGTATCCCTCTCTCTTCCTCTCTGTAAAAAAATAAAAAAATAAATAAATAAATAAATAAATAAATAAATAAAAATATATTTTTTTAAAAATGCAATGGTTCCATTATATGATTTGGTAATGATCTCTGGTAAACTGGACAGTTTGTTAGGAAACAGAAATACATGACTTCGGAGTTATTTGTATTAGGGACCTGAACAGAACTCCAGGGAGACTCATAGAGGGACGGTGGTGAGTGCTGGGGGAGAAACTTCCTGAAGATGGAAGTAAGCTGCCCCTCTCTCCCCTGAGGGGGAGGCCAGCAGGTTGGCCATAGGTTTGACTATGAAACCATATGAGTTAGAGGAGGAAAAAAAAAAAAAAACATTCAAAAGTGTAAGGTTTCTGGCCTCCTGTCATGGTTTTCCTCTCTCTTCTTTACTGACACCTTCTCATAGGAGCAAATTTCCCAGGGAAGAGTCAGTCAAGCAAAAATGTCAAATGGTCCATGTCAACCAGAAACCAGATTGCTCCAGCTGGGAACAGAAGTGTCAGGGATCCGAGAAGGAGAAGGAGTCAGCCTTGAAAAGGGAGTGGAGATCTACTTTCTTTCCTCTCCTTTCCCTCTCTTCCTCTGCTGTCCTCTTTCTTCCTCTGTCCCTCCTCCCCTCTCGCTCCCGTCCTCTCTCTCACTCTGCTCCTTGCCTAATGCATTTTTTTTTACCTCATTGTGGCCTTTGGAGCGAGCAGGGTGGCTCAGTGCCCTCGAGTTCACTGTGCAGTCCCCATCCTCCCCAACAGAAGGCCTGAAGGTTTAGATTTGAGAAATAGAATGTAATAGCAGACTTTTAGTTAGTAGCCATGATTTCTTTATTTTTTTAAATAAATCTTTATTGTTCAGATTATTACAGGTGTTCCTCTTCCACCCCACCCCCCTCATAGCTCCCCTTCACCTGATTTCCCACTCCACCCCCATGCCCTTACCCCCCCCCCACTGTCTTCATCCAGAGGTGTAAGATTTTTGTCCCATCTCTTCCTGCACCCCTCAGACCCC